CTTCACAGTGGCAAACTTGCCTCCTTTGCAGGCTGCTTCCCCGTAGGAGACGTCTTCCTTGGCCCCAGTGCTCAGGACCTGCCCCGGCCACGTGTCCACGCCCCCGAGCAGCGAGCTCCTGGTCATGCCCAACACGTCGCTGGGCAGTTGGAGCCCACAGCCGCGGACTCCGGGTGCAGGCAGCTCTATAAAAATAATTTGAAGAACACAATGCTAAGTTGAGAATTTACGCAAAGGCTAGATAGTAAAATAATAGTTTATCTATTACAGCAGAGGAAGCAAGCATTTTAGCATTCCTTAAAATTATTACTATTAGGCTGCATAAATAAGCCCAATCAACAAGCCAGCAGTTACTACAATATTAAATAAGTTGTGCTTCTACAAATTATTAGCTTTAGCACATCTTAAAATCATGAACAGATACAACCTTCAGTCACTTTGAGAATTATGATTTAAAGCTATTTTTAAACTTGATGTTTAATTTGATAAAAATCTTCATTTTCAGATATTCATTATCACTCTAGAATTGTTTCTCTGAAACTTACTAAAGGATCAGATATCTTTTGATCTTAGTCAGTGTTATTCACACATGACAATCTATTAAATACATTTAATAGAGCCATATACATCATTTATGCATTTTAAGAAGCAAAGAATACACTTAGCAAATGTCTTTAGCATTTTTACTTAATTACAAGTAGCTCAGGTGTTCATTGATGTATTTATCTAATTTTTAACAATTATCTTTACACTGTTCAGAAAATGTAAAATATCTGACAAGTTAATTCCCCAAAACAATTTTTATTTTTAGTTGAAGAAAAACTTTCAAAAGTTGTAGTCAATACTGGAAAATTGTATCTACAAGTACTACAACAGAATATTATTTAAAAACTCCTTCAGTGGGTTTCTGGGGTTATGGAACCTGAATACTTACATTGAACCCAGAAATTATTTTTTAACCAAAATCTCATGTCACCAAAGGCAAACTGTTCTGGATCATAAGGATGCCTGTAAGTGCCTCTACTTGCAGGACCAGTAAGAAATTTACTAGTCATAGGCATTGTCTTGGTCCCTTTTTTCATTGTTGAGACAAAATACCCAGCACCCAAAGTTAAAGGAAGACAGGTTTTATTACTGCCCATGGCTTGTAGAATTTTCAGTCTGTAGTCAGCAGGGTGGCCTGGAAGAACGGTATCCCAGGAAGGAAACAGCTCATGGCAGGGCAAGCAGGAAGCAGCAGTGAGCAGTGCAGCTCCAGCAGCAGCCTTCCTTTCCCTTTTATCCCGCCCAGGCTACAAACTTCTTGGATGGTGTCGCCCACAGAGTTGTAGAAGCAATTTCCCATGTATGTATAGACACAGGTCTTCCAGAAAATTAGGAAGAAGTACAGCACGACTAGACAAATGTTTACTTGCTACGAGTTAATGCACAAGACAACACTATCTACGCTTCTCAGACATAGCAGGAAAGCTGTCCGGTGGACTTACATTAGATGATGTCTCAGAAACTTTGAATTGCTCTACTTCTTTCCTCTAATAAGCCACACTGGATTACCTAGCTCAGCATCCGCTGAGTAGAATAACCGAGAAGAAGCAGCTGCCAGTCACTAGAAATGACTCTTGTTTGAGAAAGCAGTCCTGAGGACACTTGGGGCTGAACCAGTCCTGAAACTGATACAGTCGTGAGATGCCATAGGGCTGGGCAATAGGAAGACTGGGACCTTTTCCTGCTACTCAGTAAAACCAGGATTTGCATTTTCTTTTGACAGTCAGGAATTTAAAAGTCACTTTTGCTATGAACTGTAACTCTTTTAACCAATATCTAACAAAATGCTGCCTCTTAGGACAATTTTTACAAATATAAAAGCAGCCTTGATGCATAACATTCTGAGAAACTAAACAATTTAAGCTTTTAAATGAAAGAATGCCAGCCAGTGTTATATTAATAAGTGCCACATCATCTCAGTGTTCACCAACTCTGATTTCCAAGAGTTTTTATGGTTCTAACGAATTCTTGCTGGGCGTGGTGGTGCATGCATATAATCCCAGCACTCGGGAAGTTGAGGCAGGAGGATTGTTGTGAGTTTAAGGCAGTCTGAATTTTTTTTTTAACCTTGGTAAACTACTCTTCTAAAAGTCAAACATGCAAAATGTAGTTCTGATCAGCTAACACAGGCAAAATTCATGCTAACACTTTTGAGGACATGTTACAGCTTTCAAAATGTTTTCTTAAGTTATGTGAACAAAAAGTCATTTGAGTTTATGCTTTCTTAAGGTTTTTTCTTTTTCTTTTCTTCTTTCTTTCTTTCCTTCTTTCTTTCTTTCTTTCTTTCTTTCTTTCTTTCTTTCTTTCTTTCTTTCTTTCTTTCTTTTTTTGAGACAGAGCCTCATTGTGCAGTTTGCTCCTGGCCTTGAACTCACTATGTAGCCACAGCTGGCCTCCAACTTGAGGCGATCCTCTTGCCTCAGCCTCTGTGCTGGGATTTCAGGCATGCACTACCATGCCCAGTGATGTTTTCTTGATTACTGAGAGCCCTTGTTTTTAAGTTAATCTAGTACCATCTGAACAATATATAATGTATGTGTACAGGTAGACATATTTAATACACACATGTGCACCAACACAAAACAAAGACAAATTTATCACTCATGCACTTTTAAAAAGTTAATTGGGGTGGTTTTTCTTCTACCATCCTATGCAATACTTAATCTTAAATTAGCCCATGTGAAGGTAGGATTTCTAGTTGTAGTAAGATAAGAAATACATAATCTCAAAGGAAATTGCTTGCCCTGTTAATCTGTTTGAATTTCTTGAAGATTTGTTTCCTGCCTTCTTACAGGTCCTAGTCAATGTAAAAACCCTTGCCCCAGGTTTTTAAGACATTTTTCACGTGTTAAAATTTAGACATAGCTGGTCAGAAGTTTACATACCTTATCCTGGGGCTCTATGGCTCAAGGCCTCGAGTACGAAAAAAAGAAACCAGTTTAGGAACAGTACTCCCCCCAGAGGAAAATTCTCCACAGATTCAAATTTCTCCATTTTTCTAGTTGGAAGGAAATGGAAATAGGAGACAAAAATTAACTTCCAGTAAACAGAAGCTTTGAAAAATACTTGGAAACACAACTGGCTTAGAATGAACTGAGGACTGTTAAGCAAATGAGCAGAAATTAAGACCTCAGTGATCTCACCAGTACTAGCTAAGGAGCTGCATGGCCAGTGGTACAGAACATTCCCGCTTGCCCATGTCATGGTTCCAGAAAAAAGCAGGGAAAGCAGGGACAGATGTCATGCTGGCCTTGGCGACTCCAGAAAAATCTTCCCAAGGCTGGCTATGAAATCAAGGTGTGCTTTCAGTTCCGCAGGGGCCTGTCATCTCACAAGGAAATTACTCTTGTAAAAAGCTCAGACTGCCTTAAACTCACGGGTCACTAACACCTCACCAGGGACTTGCCAAGTAGCACAAGCGCTTTGGTTCCTGAGCAGTTTACACCAGAAGTCCTCAAACACCGGAGGTGTCTCTAGCCTTTTAAGCGCTCTTAATCTACGCTTTTTTTCCCCTGGGTCAACAAGTGGTTTGAGAACCTTGAACTCCATATTGGCCCACAAGGCAGCCTCGAGACAGCCAGAAGCCTCAAATGACTCTCATAATTCTACATGGTACAGGAAGCCTGTGGCTCATCCTAGGGTAGAGGACTGTTTTGTGAAGAGAAAAAAGAACAAAAGCACCCCAAAGCAGACCCAGACAAATGAGTGCTCCTAAGCAAAATGCTTTTGTTTTTCTAGCTCGAAATCTGTTTTGCACACTAGCGAATGCTCCCAATATGACCTGTAGCAGGTCCAAAATGTTCCCAACCAGTGATGGTCCTTCTTTCACCTGAATGACACTGGCGAGTAACCTAAGAGAAGCCCCAGGATCCCTGGAGTGCACGTTCTAGCAGGAAACCAGGACAAGCTGTCAGCTCCCCACAGCACCTTTTCCTTCTACTAACAAAAGTGTTCACAGAGGGCCAGTGATATAGCTCAGGGGAACAAATACCTGCCTTGCAAGCACAAGGTCCTGAGTTCAATTCCTGGTAACAGGAAAAAAAATTAAAAAGCGCTTATAGGCAGCAGGCAGCAGATGCCACTAGCAGGGTTGGAGGGTCATGCTCAGGTGCAAAAGTGTCCCTAGCAGCTGCTAGAGTGACCCTGGAGTCCTCACCATTGGTTCAGCTAACCACAAGCAGTCAATCCCTCTTCCCAAGTGACTGTCAGGATACAGGGCTCTTGGGAGCAGGGACTTCTGTCCCTCAGTGCTTGTCCAAACTGTCACCTGCCATTCAGGTTCACATTCTCAGGGTCGTCTTGTCACCACTGACCAAATCAAAGGAGGCCATACATTCTGATGAAAAGGAAAGAATGGATTTATTCAAAGCTCACTTTGAGGAGACGAGGGGTCTATTGGCCCGGAATCACTGGGCACAGGTGGGCAAGGGTCTTTCATAGTAAGGAAGGAGAGGGAACGCAGGGGGACGGCGGTCCTATCCAGGATCCTTCCACCACTTCCAGAACTGAATGTCCCCTTCCTTGCCCAGGAGATGAACATGGCCTTGATCTCCCAGGTCAGCATTGGTCTAGGCCTTTCTTCTGGCCCAGGAGAAGCAGGGGAGCCGATTATGCCCTGGGCCTGAAGACATTTGGAAGCCACTTGCCTCTAGAGGAAAAAACCAAACTTTTCAAGTTTATATTCTTCACTTGAAGAAGGGAGCTAATTCCTATCTCAAGGACGATGGTACCCACACCAGTTAAGGGGAAAGGCGCTGGCCCCAGACCCTTTGTGGCTGTTGTTATCAATACCGCAGCAACTACGTCTATTCCACGCCATCTGGGGCCACACAAGCTGCGGGTCATGGAAAAAGCCAGGCTCCTACCTATCCTGTAATCGCTTCCCTGTAAGGACTATGATCTCAGCTCACCCATTAACCTGTTGAATGAGACAACCCGAACGCTCCGGGCATATCTGCCAGTGAGGACCTGGACTGTTGAACTGAAGAGCTTCCCTCACAGGCGTGACAACTGCCCTTCGACCCACCCTGCTACTTTAAATGCTGCTCCCCCTGGGGGGGTGTCAGTGGATAAAATCCACCTGGCGCTCTCCAGGCTCCGCTGCCTGCGCTGGAGGCTCCTCCGGCCGCACCTGCCTAAGCGCTCCGGAGCGGGGCCACTCCAGTCCGGCACTTGGCGAGCGCCGGGGCGCGGGTCGGGATACTCCTCTATAAGTCCCAGGCTTTGAAGTCCCAGAGCGCCTGCAGGTGTTAGGGCTGCCACCTCGCGGGGATCCGCGGCTGCAGGCCGCGGGTGAGGGTGCGGGCGCCCCTGATCCGGACGCGTCGGGGCGCAGGGCCCGGCCAGCGCGCCATGGGAGCGCAGCGCGCGCTGGGCAGCTTCGCCGTCGGCGACTACCTGGTGTTCGCGGGCGTGCTGCTTGTCTCGGCGGCCATCGGCGTCTACTATGCCTTCGCCGGCGGAGGCCAGCAGACCTCCACGGACTTCCTGATGGGTGGCCGCAGGATGACCGCCGTGCCCGTGGCGCTGTCCCTCACCGCCAGCTTCATGTCGGCCGTCACCGTGCTGGGCACTCCCGCTGAGGTCTACCGCTTCGGGGCCATCTTCAGCATCTTCGGCATCACCTACTTCTTGATGGTGTTTCTCAGCGCCGAGGTCTTCCTTCCCGTGTTCTACAAACTGGGGATAACCAGCACCTACGAGGTGAGGGTGGGCAGGTTGTCACCCCCACATGGGACGCTCCTGGTGCCCTCCCCTGGGAGAGACAAAAACTTGCAAAGAGAGCTTTCCGAAGGAAACTGGGAGGATGGGACTCCTGCTCTCTGAGGTTCTTGCTGCAGTTGACATCTTCGTTAGTCAAGCGGAAAGGTTTTTAAACTTTCCGGAGAGCTGGGCCGGTGTGGGTGCACCACTGAAGCCTCAGATCTTCCGTTTTGGAAGGAGCGCCCTCCTCAGGGCCCTCAGCACCACGCGCTCTCCAGGGAGACTGTTGGAGAATCCGCGCCACTGGGTCCTCTGAGAGCCAGGTACACAAGAGGTTAAGGAGCAGGGCTCTTGTCCGGGGAGGCCAGGTTTTACTCTTACTACCTGAATGACTTGGCCACTTATTTAGTTAACCTTTTCTAGCTATTTCCTCCTCCCCGAAAGAAAAAATAATAGCGAGTTGGGGGAGACAGCTTGGCGGTCTAAGTGCCTGCCTGGCAAGTGCAAGGTCCTGAGTTTGATCCCCAGTACCACATGCCATGCTGGTCCCAGAACTGCGTGGGTCCCCAAACAGGCGGTGGTGGAGCATACCTGTAATCCCAGCACTGGGGAGACTCTGTATCAAAAAAAGAAAAGAAAAGAAAAGAAAAGAAAAGAAAAGAATACAGCCCGCTTCATTGGGTGGTTGGGGAGGATTATGGGTTGGCGCAAGGCACTGCACTTAGAGTGATGTTCAGTACAGACTTGCGTGCAGGATACATGGTGATGGGAGAGGTCACCTTGTGATCCTTAGAAAAACTCAGCAGTAGCGTCTTTAAACACCTCTGTCATTTCTCCATGGCAAGGTGGTGGAGGAAAACCATGTTTTTTCTCCCACACAGAACCCTGCATGTAGCTTCTCTGTAGCAGAGAGCTCTGTGTGGTTGGCGACTGGTTTCCTTAAGGAGCTGTCCTGTGGGAACGCAGGTCTTAGCTCAGGCTCCGGGGGAGGAGTGGGGCTGCTCAGTTCTCTCCCCACCCCTGCCCCCTGTCTTCCTTGTTCCAGGCTGCAGCTGTCACCTCTCCCTGGGCTGGGGTGTGGAGTCCCCGGAGTCTCAGCTCAGTGGCTCTCTCTGGCCTCAAGTTTATCTAATGCCTGCTCCATGCTCGAAGCTGGTTTCCCAGAGAAGCTGGTTCAGCTGGTGCTGGGGACAATGGCACAATGAACCTTGGTGACAAATTTGGCTCAGGAACTTGTGATGGCGTGCAGGACAAGGCATCCCTGGGGGCAGCACTGCTTCCTCTCCTTCTGGCTGTCAGTGCCTGGGAAGAGTTCAGCCATCACCCAGAAGTGAGCAACAGGGAATTTGGGCTGTGTTTCCAGATGATGAATTGTTGGCCCGAAGCTGAAATCATTACTCACCTCTTTCTAAACATGATAGTGTTGAAGAAAATAATTAATTTATCATTTAACAATGAGAAGACAGCAAGGCTGGGCATGGTGGCATGCACTTGTAATCCCAGCACTTGGCAGGCTGAGGCAGGAGGATTGTTATGTAGCTGAGCCAGCCTGGGCTACAAAGTGAGTTTAAAGCCAGGCTGAACTGCATGGTGAAACCCTGTCTCAAAAAGACAATAAATAAATAAATGAATAAATAAATAAATAAAATGAATAAAAGAAAGCAAATAAAATTCCAGATCCTAACTTCTTTTGAAAACTCAGAAAATAGGTGACATTAGACCCACGTTCTCATGGCCACGGGAATACCACTGTACAGTGATGGCTCCCACGCTGTTATTTTCTTTTCTGAGATTCTCATGGTGTTCGCAGTTGTTTTCTTATAGTGGAGAAATCCTTTTCTGCACTTATGTCTTTATCAGAAATGCAAAAAGGAAAATACATCACTGTGAAGGGATCGCTTGTTTCAAAGGAGAAGCAAGAACACCTGTTTTCCAGAGGGCACATGGGCCCACGCACGTGCCTCATTGTGCCACTCTCACGTGCCCCCTGCTGGCCCTGTAGGAAGTTGAGCCTGTGAGGTTTTTCTTTTTTTTTTCTTTTTTTTGGCGGAACTGTGGATTGAACTCAAGCCCCTGTGCGCCAGGAAAGCAAGCCTGTGAGTTCTGATCTGTACTTAACCAACCCCAAGACTTAGAAAGTGTTTGAATAACCCAACAAGAGACTCCCAGTCCCTAGAGAGGAATGCTGCTCCCTAGCCACTGCACTACCTTGGGCGCCAACGTGACCCAGATGCCACCAGCTTTCTCACTCATTTTTAGAGAGGGCAGCTAGGTTGGCAGGGATTCTAGCTGACGGTGGCAGGAAGCTAACTTTTATGGAAAGCTGGGAACCCTGAACAATGCTGTATATGCATTAGCTGCCTCAGGGCTCAAGTACTCCTTACAAGGGAGCATCCCTCAGAACCAGCTGTGCAGACAAAGAGGCTCAGAGCATGTTAAGCTAGCAAGAGAGCTGGTGGCAAGGTGGACACCTGTGTGGCAGCACCCTGGCCACCCTAGAAGCTGTGCCATAGTATAATCCTGAGCGGGGCTTAATGCCCACGCAGTGAGAAGCAAGGAGGCAATGCATGGTGCGCAGGCCTGTGAGCCATGCCCAGACCTGGGTCATCAGGCAGTCGGGGACAGGCAAGGTGGGCCACACCCTGAGCCCCTTGCAGCCCTTCATGGCAAAGGCTTTCTTGTAGAATATCCTGCCAGTGTGCCGAGAGGTAGAGCCGCCTCCGTGGAGCGTGAGGTCTACCATTGTTGCTCAAGTGTAGCTCTCTTCCTATTGACGTTTTGCACAGCTTGAGTCCCTCCATGAGCATCGTAAGCATCTGCTTCTCCCTGCCCCAAGACGTGGGCGTGACAGGTGTCCAGCAGCTTCCAGAACGCGTTCAATTCCTTGCGTCTTCAGAATGTACTTGGATCCAGCTGAATCTGTATGTTTGAGCTGAGTTTCTCAGGGTCTTTTTACTTTTTAATTCTTTTATTTGTTTTCTCAACGGAAGCTGAAGTGTCCCTCAGTTATTCAAAGTTTCGAGGACTATGAATGGTCTTGAATGACTGTAGGTGCTTATAGTTGCTGTGTGATTTTGTCCGGACATCCTAAAACTACTTTTTGAAGTTTACTACAGTGACGTGGGCCTCTAATTTAGCCTCTAGGTTATTTCCTCTGCAGCTTACGGGACCATGGATAGCTGAAAGAGCAATAGATTTCTTGGTTGTATGTTGAGTTGGTCTCGTGTGTGCCTTAACACACTGCTTTTCCAGATCAGTGGGTCTTGGAAAACAACGTATGGCATGTCAATACGCCTTCCAAGCTGTTAGGTTCAAGTTTCTCCGTTCTCACCTGTGCCACATCCTGCTCTTGTTTTCTTTACTCTCCAGCAGTTGCCTGGAGAAAGCACAGAGCCTCCTTGTCTGTTCACGACCACTCGTGTGCAATAGAGCCTCACTGAAAAGAATTCTGCAGAAATAACTTTACCTGTGTCCAAGCTTCAGAAACTTTTCCAGGCTTCTAGAACGCCTTCCAAAATGGCCTTCAGTGATTTTGATATAAGGAATTCATGAGGTTCTCAGAGTTACATCCTACCAGCTTTTTGGTGGTGTATTTTACTTTTTAAAAGTATTATATATTTATTTATTTGGTACAGGGTCTTGCTACACAGCTTGGATTCATAGTGAGCCTCCATTCTCTGCCTCCCCAGTGCTGGGATTACAGGTATGCTCCACCACGCCTGGTTTCAGTGGCTGGCATGGTGTGGGGTTGGAATGTCCTGCAGTACCGGGGTTTGAACCTTGGTCCTTGAGCTTGCCAAGCAGGTGCTTAGACCACTAAGCTATTTCCCTGGCCTCAGTATTTTACTTTTGAATGTACAATTGCAACATTTCCCCCATCAACCTGTATCATTGGAGGATCTATAAAACCCTGCAAAAGAAGAGGCACAAGAACTTTGGCTGGGATCCTCATTTTCAAGAGAGAGAATGAACGTAAGATGTGGAGAGCAGTTGGTTCAGGCCCTGAGTCAGGAGGGGTGTGTGTGCTGTGTATTTGCCACCCTGAGTTATTTTTGGAGGCCCTACTATGTGTCAGTGTCATCTACTCATAATAGGGTCTTACATACATGGTTGAATTGTTTGCTTATTAATCTGGGTATGCGCATGGACTGGGGCACTGAAGATTCTAAATGTGTGTCATAGCCCCAACCCTTGTGAGGTCTCTAGCTGGGTGTCTTTTCGGAGCTCTAGGGTCCTTGTCACTAGCCCAGGCTTCTACATAGCCCCTGCCTTCTGGAGGTATTGGGAGGACCCCGTACCCAGCAGGGACTCTGAATGTGTTCTCCAGCACTCTGGAGAAAGCTATTAAGTGTCTTTTCCTCTAATTATTACCTAATGCCAGCTTTTCATTCCTCTGTTTCCTGCAATATAATAAGACTGTTGTCAGCCTGAAGCTTCTCTCTACGTGCAGACCGTGTGTGCAAGCTGGACTTGCACATGGCTGCAACTCTGTACCACGTACACTGGATCTACACTGTAGAAAATGAGCAGGCCATGCTAAAAGACACCACAGGTCTTAAGGAAATGTGGTAGGATGGTTGATTGGCTCCAACAGAAACTGACTTGGGAGATTTATGTTTTAAAAAGTTGTATATATACATATGAAAGCCAGGAGTGTAGTTCGGAGAATGGATCTGAGAAGTGGAGGCAGCAGATTTTGGAGGAGACAGAGCCAGGCCGGCTTCTTCAGGCTCTGAGGTCATGGTCACTCTGCATACTCTGCAGTCACTTTCTGTTCCTGACCTTTCCCCCAACCCCCAACCCCGGCAGAGGTGCTGATTGGCTGCACTGGGTCATGTGACTTCTTGCTCCAAAGCTGCAAGGCACTTGAAGACAATTGCCTCCCAGTTGCTGGATTTGGAAAGCGTTGGTTGTCCACCTGAGTCAAGGGAACTGCTCAGAGTGGATGCTAAGCAGAAGGGAAGAACACAGAACACTTGCTCTGCAGCACATGAGCATTCCACTGATGTGACAGTTTTCCAATCTTTCCAGGTCAAACTGGGGATAAAGAACAGATTGGGTTCTAGACCAGCCTGGGCTACAAAGTGAGCTCAAGGACAGCCTGATCCGCATAGCGGGAACTTCCTGTCTCAAACAACAAAACAGAACAGCAGATTGGCTACGGGAGGGCTTAGGGTGAGAGCAGGCACAGCACTGGAGAGCACTGGGGGCAGCAGAGCTACTATGCCACACATGTTGTGCGGGTTGAAAACCACTGAATTGTGCTCTCCACTGAGTCAACTTTGCCATCTATAAATAGAATAATAGTAAACAAAGAGTGCCAATGGGTTATGAACTTGCCTTTAGTTTCTAGTCCTTTATTTCTAAAGCTACTGATAAAAACAACATGCAGAGGATTCACATAATCATTTTTTTCCCCCTTTCTATTGGCCACAGTACTTAGAACTTCGGTTTAACAGATACATCCGTCTCTGTGGAACAGTCCTCTTCATTGTGCAGACAGTAAGTAGCTCTGCATTTGTTTATCTTCTCTCTTGTCACCAAAATATTTTAATCCATGGCATCTGAATGAACATCACTTGGGAAACACATGGAGGATAGAAAAGGTGCTGAAAATATGAGGAAATGAAACAGAAAACATCGGTTGCTACCCACTAGGGTATTAAGCCTTGAGATCATTAAACAGTGTTTCGGCAAAAGCTTTACTTCCTGGAAAAATAGAATGATTCAAGTGAGTTTAAATACTGTATTGATCAAGCAAGAGGTATGTTGCTTTAGGGAAATATGCTTTCTCCAGCCCCACCTCGACCAAGGTGACAATGAAGGCATTACTAGGTGACAAATAGATTCGAGGGAGCTACACTACCTGGAAGTAAGAATTCTAAGAAAGGGAAGACAAGCTGGATATTTTTCACTTCCTTTCTTGGGACCAGGTTGAGTAATAAATATGAAAAATCTGACAGGACATCAGGGGGCAGTTCAATTTGCCAGAAAGCATACTTACAAAATGAATTTGTGCTCTTAAAAAATTGGACTATAAGAACCAATTGAAGCAGTCCCTTAGAGTGTAAAATGAAAGATGGATAAGCTCTGGAGGAGTTTTTAAAGACAAACACACAAGTCAGTAATTTCAGAAGAATACGCGAGTAGCAAGTGCCAGGGACCTGTGATCCCAGCAGTCCGGGAGGTCTAGGCAGGAGGATGATAAATTCCAACCTGGGGAACTGAGCAACGTTGTGAGACCCTATTTCAAAATAAAAGATAAAATAAACAGAAGGGGTGGAGATGTAACTTACAGGCTCTGGGTTCAAGAGTACTTGAACTACCAAGATAAGAAAGAATGAGAGAGGGAGAGAGAGAGAGTGAGAGAGAGAGTGAGAGAGAGAGAGAGAGAGAGAGAGAGAGAGAGAGAGAGAGGAAGAGAGAGAGAGATAGAGATAGGAATATGCAGGTGTAGATGGAGAGATTGTCACAAATGTAAAGCATGTGACAAGTGACTGAAAATGTTTCTGTGGTTGTCTGGGCCACTGGGGGTTTTCTATGACAGTTGTCACTACATTGTAGCCTGCTTCCTTCTGGCATTAAGCGTGTAAAACTGGGGATGACAGTCTTTTTCTCTCCAAAGCTGCTTGAGCACAGACTCCAGTGAGACAGAGTGCCTTTGGAAAACTTTGAACTCAAGTCCATTTTTTACTCTTTGCAAAACACATCAAAGGAAGGTGGCTTCTGAGGTCTGCTAAAGACTTTGACATAAAGCTGAGGTAGATTGTGTTGTTTAAACCTTCCTTGGTGGGTTTATGCTAGAGACGGCCCCAGAGAAGAAAAGTGGGGACAATTGTTAGGAAGACAGCCTGTTGCATTCTCAAATTCTCAACCTGGGCGGAATAATGATGGTGAAAGGCTAGCTCTTTTGTTTTTTTTCCCCCAAAGAAAGGAGTTTTAGCATTTCCCTCCTTGCAGTATAACCAGGTATTCAAATAGTACACAATATGTTTGTAATCGTAACTTGTTTTTTATGGAATAACTTTAGAATTAGCTTCTGTGTGGCGTCTTTGAAGGTAATGCAGTGAAAATGGTATTTTGAAATACATTCTAAAAGAGAAAATTATATATATATATATGTATATATATATATATATTTTTTTCTTTTCATTTATGTATTTGGTACAGGGTCTCACTATGCAGCTCAGACTCATAGTGATCCTCCTGTTTTCAGCCTCCCCAGTGCTGGGATTACAGGCGTGCGCCACCTTGTCCTGACTTGGTGGCCAGCTTAATGTGCCTGGGGGTGGGGCTGGCGCGGCATGCGAGAAAGTGATATTTTGAGAAACAGACTATAGCTTACTAGGAAACTGAGGATCAGTAAATATTTATTGATCCTATGAGTGAAAAATTAAATAAATGATATAAAAGAGATGGATTATAGTTTTTGTTGACTTTCAGGATTTTAAGTGGATGGTCACATTTTTGTCTAATAGACACACAAACATTTAAAAACATGTTTTTAAAAATTTTGCATTAGCAATTATTGATGATCAGCAGTAGTTTGAAGTCAGGAATAAGGTCCCAGCCCTTTCCAAATTTGTATTTCTTATCGTTATATGTTTCAAACCCAGGAAAATTAATTTCAGGCTCGAGCGGGCGAATCATTGGCCATTTGCACTAATCAGCACAGAGAAAAGTATCCAGAGTTTTACAAAAAGTTGGTCATAAAAGATTTTTGTAACCTGTGACCACACTAATAAATATGAATTAATTTTACTTAACATTTTTCAAGATTTTTCTTAAGTGTACTAAAACTGCTGTCTTAATTTCTTGCTGGTTTATATTTGATAATTTAGACCTCACATTCATGAATTTTATAACTCATAGAGTCCATTTGGCTTTCCCTCCTTAGATTCTGTACACTGGAATTGTCATCTATGCCCCTGCGCTGGCTCTGAATCAAGGTACATTTTCTTGTTCTCTCTTTTTTTTTTATTACTGCATGTCTGTGACCCATAACAAACACATTCCTTTGGGGGAATCGGTACCTAGACGCGTTCCCTCTCTGTCCTTTCTATTGCCCCTTTCCCTTCTCTCCCTCCCCTCCCTTCTCCCCCATGCCCCGTTTTGATTCCATTCTCCACATAGTCTATTTAATTTCCTATCGTCTATCTTTTACTTTGCTCTTTATTTATACTCTGGATTTCTCATATAAAAGGTAGACCATGCGACGTGTAAGTCTGTGCATCTGACTGATTTCACCTAACCTTACAGTCTAAAGGTGCATTCCGGGCTGGTGAGATGGCTCAGTGGCCTAGAGCACCTACTTGGAACAAGCCTAAGCAAAGCACAGGGACCACGGTTCAATCCCCCAGCACCACATGCCAGCCAGCCCCGCCCCCTGGTGGGCTGAGCTGGCCACACACACAAAAAAATAAATAAATAAAATAAATTAATTAAAAAAATTTATAGGCTTTAAAAAAATAAATAAAGGTGCATCCCCTTTTCCTACAAATGGCTCAAGTTTATCCTTTATGGCATAGTCATATGCTATGGTGTGTAGTTTTCCACATTTTCTTTATCCATTCATCTGGTGATAGACATATAAGCCTCTTGCATGATCTAGCTGTGAAGGTATATTTTTGAAGTGGCAAATCATGTAATTCAGTTTGGGGTTCAGTTTCAGTGAGCCTGATTCTCTTCATGGGGCGACAGAGATAGATGCATGTGCCTGTCACCCACATCAGGGTTATGCAGGGTGGGTGGCTTCCAGGTCTGCACTGGCATCTTCGGGTTTCTGGATTGACAGCCAGGGGGCTGCAGGTCCTGGCAGGGCAGACCCTGATGGTCTGCTTCTGCAGGCTGTGTCTGCCAGCCATCCTCCAGTCCTGAGCAAACACCCCCATCACCGCAATCATGAATAACTGTACCCTGTCTTTTGTGACTGTTCCCTGGAATCCAACCCCAAGGACTCAGGTACATTGAGGAGGCTGCCCTCAGTGAGAGCAGCCCCTCTTCCCTCTACCTCTGATAGTTCCAAGAGGAAGAGAAGAGTCGTGCAAGTTATCTGAAATGCCAGCTTACTTTTGTGCTGGCAAGGCAGTGGCAGTAGGGTCCGTGCTCCTTGGTGACCTCAGGAGGATTGTGCAGACCCCTAAAGTACCTCGAGTTGGCAGATGACGGCAGTGAGGCTGGGCTCATTCATCCAGCAAATGTTCATGCTGGGCCTGCCTTCCAAAGGCTTCAGGGAAAGTGCCCTCTCATTGAATTCTTATCAGTCGGAAGTGAGTTTATCTCTAAAGCTTCCTGGTAAAATGGACAAGTGGAGTCTGATGGGAAGGAGTGTGGTGCACTTCCTGGAGTCAACATGCCATGGGGAATACCTGCTCACCTGCACCTTACTTTCTTGATTTTATAAATGGTAATGTAGTCATTCTCACTGTCTGCAAAGCATGACAGGATCTTTACAAAGATCTCCTCGGCATGATGCACCCTAAGCCCTGAGTGCCAGCTGTGCAGCACACTCCTGTACGCTCCCAACATCAGGAGCGGCTCATTGCATATGTGAAGAACTGGCTAGCAATGAACTTCCTAAGGTACCTATTTGTCTTAAGCATAACTGAAGAGGACAGAGTTTTAAAGTGTGCTGGCCTTAACCTGAGTCTAAGAAGAACAGAAATCAGATTCTGTTCTTCTTAGACTCAAGGTACTGTGCAGGAGTAGTTAGGGCCTCAGGGACTGCACCGTGACTACTGGATTGTCACTTGTGTACTCACTGTGCCTGCGACAGTGGGTACGGGAATAGTCGCAGTGTTTGGTGTGCAGCTGATGCTAAATAAGCACTTATTTAACTCACTGTGAATTTGACATTCTCTAGGTTCAATATCTTTTTAAATTTTCCTTCTTTTGTCATAGAAAACTTCAGACGTACTCTAAAGTGGAGAACAGTGTACTGACTCCTGAGGTAGCATCATTCTGCATCATAATGATCAATTTATGGTCAATTTCAAGTCACGCCTGACTTCTCCCAGTAGATTGTTTTGTTGTAAATTTGAAATATGGGGGGTCAGGGAGATAGCTCAGCGGCATAAGTGCCTGCCTGGCAAGCAAGCACAAGGTCCCACGTTCGATCCCTGGTACCGCAAAGAAATAGAAATAAAAATGGAGCTTCACAATTGAAATGTGTTATGTCATCTGCCTTTCAGTATGTTCTTAGATTTTATGTAATTGGGAGCATGGAGTGCCTTTGTGTATCTGGTTTCTTTGGTTAACAAAACATTTTTGACTTGTATTCATTTCGCAATACGTGTCAGTAATTCTTTCCTCTTGGGAGCTGGAAGAATTTCATGTACACATTGTTCAGAATCTCTTTAGCTCCTCTTGTCCACGAACGTTGGATTCTTTCCAGTTTTAGGTTCTCCTGAAATAAGGCCGCTAAGAGCATCCTGCTGCAGTCTTTTTGTTTTGTTTTTCTTTGTGACACTTGTTTGTTTTTCTACTTGAAATGAAATACACGAACATAGCATAAAATTAAATATTGGTGTATTGTGATGGAGATCCGGATAGTCGTATGCATAAAATTTAATAGAAATTGCCAAATACTTTGATTGTTTGGGCCATTTACACACCCATTTCACAATGTAAGAATTCTATTGTAAACGCATCTTTGCTAAAACATTTGACGTTAGGGTGTGTTTTGTCATTCTAGTGGGTATTATAGATTTTTGTATTATGGCTTCAATCTGCATTTCCTGTTGACTTTTTTTTTTTTTTTTTTTTTTTCGGTACGGGGATCCAAATCAGGACCTTGCGCTCGCAAGGCAGGCACTTGCTCTGCTGAGCTATGTCCCTGCTCCTTGCTGTTCACTATTGGCTTGTAAAATCATGAAGGTGAATTTATTTTGTTTATTTTTTCCAGTACCAGGGACCGAACTCAGGGTCTTGTGCTCACCAGGCAGGCACTTACGCCGCTGAGCTATCTCCCCAGCATGAAGGTGGATTGAAAAATACAAGTAATTTAGTACAAAGTGGGCAAACGGCTTGGAGATGCTGTTTACAAAAGCAGCACTCTTGCAGCGCACGCAGCACGGGGGTACCAGTGCGTTTCCTCACGTCTTCAGCGTTTCTCTCAGTAATGTTTTGCAGCTTTTGATGCTCAAGCCTTGCGTATGTGTCTTAGACTTATTTCTATATAGCTGATCTTCTCTCTTGTTCCAAATGCTAGCCCTTTATAACATTTTCCAGTTATTCACTGCACTTACATACAAATATAATTGAGTTTTGTAAGTTGGTCTTCTGTCCTGAGTGCTTGCTAAATTTGTTTTTAATTCAATTTGGTTTCAGGGAGCTACGCAAGATGTCGTGTTGCTTGTGAATAAGCCACTTTTGCCTTTCTTTTGCCCTTTGTGTCTCTCGTTCTCTCTCTTGCCAGGCTGCATGCTGATGTGGGAACATGCATTGGTTGGGTTTGCAATGCTAGCTACATGTTGCAGTCTTGGGATGAAGCTCTCTTGATGAGAGTAGGTTCACCCTCTTGCACAGCAGTACATCTGGGTTGGGAATCTCTTGTTAAGGAATTTTATAGATCATGAGGAATATTGCTCTGAAGTCTCCTTTTCATGAATTGTCTCTGTCAGATTTTTTTTTTTAATCAGCTACACTGGCTTCACAAAGTAGGAAAGTGTTTTCTCTTCTGTTTTTTTGAAAGAATTTGTATTAAATTATGTATTTCTTTTTTAAATGCTTGCTAGAATTAAAACTAAAGGCACCTGGGTCTGATAGTTTTTGTTTTTGTGGAAAGATTTTGGTTTATCAATTCAATTTTTAAAATAAATTTAGTTACTAATATCTTTAACTTTTTGGTGTCAATTTTGATAATTATGTTTTCTCAGGGAATTTATCTATTTTCCTAACTTACAAACTTCCTTGCCACGAAGTTGTTTATAATGTGCTCTTTATACTTACGTCTTTAGTCATGTCCCTTCCACTTCTTCCTAATACTGATAAGGTGTCTTTTTTCCCCTGTTCTTGCTACACCTTCTAGTTTATTTATTTACTTATTTAGTGTTTTTGAGACAGGATCTTGCTGTGTAGCTCAGGCTGGCCTTGAACTAGTGGTGATTCTCTTGCCTCAGCCTTCTGAGTGCTGGGATTACAGGTGTGAACCACCATGTCCAGTTTATTGATTTTTCAATTGTTTGTAAGAGCCATTTAAAAAAAAATTAAACCGCTGCTTTTATTGAAAAGAATAAAATACTTGACCAACTTCAAATCACAAAATTTGAACCAATCAGTCCTGCTCACCAACTCCATGAGGTAGGTATCCGCGAGCCACAGGGGGGTCATCACCGTGAGTCCTGCCCCTGCTCCTCTCAAACATGGACAAATGCAGGCATAAATCAAAACAACTATTTCAACTTAAAAAAATGTTAACTTTCAAAGACATAGAGTCCAACCCCAGGAGCAGCTCAGGTAAGAACCAATTTTGAGTCTTGTTAATTTTCCTTTTCTACTTCATTAATTTGTACTGTTTCACTAATTTCTTCTACTTATTCTGTGTTCAAATTTTCTAGCTTAAAGGTAGAAGTTTAGATCAGTAATTTTAAATACTTCTTATTTTAGAACACACATTCTTGAAGTTGTATGTTTTTCTTTAAGTAGTGCATTGTCTTTACTACATTTTGCAAGCTTACATTTTTATTGTGCTTCAGTTCAAAATATTTTCCAGTTTCTTTTGTGATTTGCTTTGTCTGTGGGTTATTTAGAAGGGTGTTGCCTAATTTTCAAATATTTGGAGATTTTCTAGCATATAATTTTAGTACTGATTTCTAAATGAATGCTGTTTTGGCAGACAACTGCCACCACTATGACTTTAATCCTTAACATTCATTAGCAGAGGCCCAGGGTATGATTTGCCTCTCTGAACACCTCATGTGCTGCTAAAAGGAACATGGATTATGTGGTTGTTGAGTGTAATGTTTTGTATAAATGTCAAACATTAGTTTGGTGAATGGGGTTGTTCAAATGTCCTATCTTTCTCTTTTTCTGGCGGTGGGGCTGGGGATTGCACTCAGGGCCGATGCTTGCTAGGCAAGCCCTCAACCACTGAGCTACATCACCAGCCCCCAGATGGTCAATCCCTCTGCTGAGTTTTAAACTTGTTCTATCAATCACCAAGAAAGAAATGTTGAAATCTGCACAGGTAACTACTAGTTTTCTACTTCTTCCATTCTGTCTGTTTTTAAGTATAGGTAGTTTGAAGCTCTTTTAAAGTTTCTTTTAATTGATAATCTCCCTTCTCTTTTTCTCTGCCTTTAAATTGCATTTCTTTGTTGAAGAAGCTGCACTGGGCTGGGGAGATAGTTCAGTGGCATAAATACCTGCCGGGCAAGTATAAGGCGCTGAGTTTGATTGCCAGTTTAAAAAAAAAAAAATGGAGTCATTCAACATGTCCCCAGCCCTCTCCGTCTCTTGTGAAGTCGTGGTTACAGCTAGGTTTCCAGGCTTCGGTTGAGCATTTTAGAGATAGCATCTCCTCACTGATGCTTGTAGGTTTAGAGCTGTAAGTTAATTAAGGCATATAGGACGGGATCTTCTAATTCTTTGACTCTTTTTTCATTAATTAGATGGAGCGCGTCAATAGAGAAGCTTGTTGATTCCTTGGTTCCTCTGGAAAAATAGATTGTATCAGAAAGGCCTGGGAAGCAGCTGATTGCCCCCATTTACTTATAAGTTTTCTAGGCAGTGAGTCACAGGCTGGGGCTGGAGCTCGGTGGCAGAGCGCATGTCCATTGCGCAGCCCTCGGCCTTGGCTTTGGGCTCCAGCATCTAAAATAAGCAAATAAAACAATAAATAAATTGCTTTTCTATTATCTCCTAAATCAACTGAGATTTTATTGTTTAAAAATGCATCCTTATGGGTTTCTGATTTAGACATGTGATGCTGTGTCCCATCATAAGGCTGAGTTATGATCCGTGCTCAAGTTGGCCCCCTTGATCCAGCAGGGGGCTCCTTGGGGTCTCTTGATTTCTCCACCTGGCCTGCACAGTAGATTCACTTGAGATCCTTTAAGAAATCCTGGGCTAGGGAGATAGCTCACTAGGATAAGCATCTGCCTGGTGAGCACAGGGTCCTGAGTTCAATCCCTGGTACCAGGAGAAAAAAACCTAAGAAACATAAAACTCCTCATTTCAAGAAAGACTGACACTGGTGGGTGTGCCCCTTGCTGCAAGCTAGTGCACCCCCTGAGCGGTCAAGTCATCAGGCATGGCTGTACGGACGGCTGTACGGACGGCTGAGGCAGGAGGATCGCCACGAGCTCAAGGCAGCCTGGGCTACACAATGAGTTCAAGGCTGGCCTGAACTATACAGAGAGATCCTGTCTCAATACCCTCCCCCAATAGTTTCAGGATAAGTTATTCTAGTATTTTCATTCATACTATGGCAGTTGAAAACAGTTATAAATTTTTTTCTTTCTAGTTCTCTTTTTCTTAGGGTATGTCCCAGTAGGGATATCTATTAAATTGTTGTTCTATCTTTTGACTACTTTTTGGAGGCTTTTTTGAGCAGCATCTCGCATAGTTCAGGCTGGCCTCAAGTTCACGGTGACCCTCCTGCCTCAGCCTCCTGAATGCTAGAATTATTGGCATGTGCCATATGCCTAGCTAAATTGCTATGCTTTGTGGCACATTTTTATCTGTTGATGTCACAACTTGATACACAGTTGGTTTGATTTATTTCAATTTACTTTTGATTTTAAGATCTTTTAATGTTTTAATAATTATGTACAATATGTGCATGATTCCAAAGTAAAATCTGAAAGTATGTTTAGAGAAGTTTAACTTACCTTCTTGTCACCCTCACTTTGCTTTCTTCTTCTTTAGGTGACTGCTTTCTTGGTTTGATTTTCATTTATCATTCCTTTTAAAAAATATAACCCACCTGTCCACTTTTTTGATCGATGGCCACCAGGTACCCAGACTTCTCCATCTAAGTTCTGTTTCCATAGCGTGCGTCCTAGCACCGCATCTTTCGGGGATGGCTGACAGTGTGTGCTCTTCTGAACCGAGTCTCGCGGGCCCGACGGAGGCGTCTTCTGACCAGTCAGCAGCCGGAGTGGGTACCTCGCGCTCTCCAGCTGCGTCTCGGCCTGGTTGCCAGAGCGGCGCTGTCCCTTGCTTTCGCTTAGCGGTGTTGGTCTGTGCAGAGACCGATGGCAGCCCACGCGTGGTGCTTGAACTCACCAAATACCATTCTAAACTCTGTTTTGGTGACATTCGTGAGATTAGGAAGTCGATGTAGGAAGATGCTCAGTGAACGAGACCGCCTCCCTCTCTGGTGAGTCCTGAGGCAGGCTTTGGACCTCTTTCGCAGCTGCGCCTGTCCTTTCTTTCCGTCTGCAGTTACGGGATTTGATCGGTGGGGCGCCGTGGTGGCGACCGGCGTGGTCTGCACGTTCTACTGCACACTGGTAAGTATGGCGAGGACACCGTTCCCCTTTGCTCTGCCTGGAACTTGGCAGCAGACTTTTCAGTTGCGCTGAGCTGTAAAATGGCTTGTTCACACCTAGTTTCCTGTCCCCAACCTGCCACCATATGACTTTATTTGGCAGGGGTATTTGGTTTGGGGTCAAATTGGATCCTTGTTAGAACACAAATCACAGTCGAACTTTGTTTCTTCTGTCTAAATCACTGCATCAGGGAGCCGGGGAGATGGCTCAGTAGAATAAGCGCTTGCCTGACAAGCTCAAGGGCCTGAGTTCAACCCCCGGTTCTGCAAAAAATAAAAAATAAATAAATAAAAATAAAAATCACCGCATCGGTGCAGGTTTCATCCCTTGGTCCACCCAGGCTGTCCTGAGATTACAGGAGCTGTGCCCAAGATAATTCCTCAGGTTTTTTTTTTTTTTTTTTTTTTTTTTGTATTTTAGGGAAGGGTCTACAGGGTGTTCAGGGTGTCACTACTGGATTGGACTTGTAGTGATCCAGACTGTTTACACCCTTCCCAGAGCTGGGATTGTAGGCGTGCACCACCACGCCCAGTCTCAATCACCATTTTAGTGCGCTCCGGGGGCTGGGCTGGCACGGCTGGCCGGGATTGAACCTCTGACCCATGCACCTGTTTGCAGGCACTTTAATCCACTGAGCTACTTGGCCAGCCCTTACTCCTCAGTTTTTGAGCCTGTGATTGCTCCCTGGGCTCCATAGCCAAAGTCTGTCAAAACCACGTGGCAGGACACCGGCAGTACTATGGGTGTAAATATTTTTTAGCACCAGTATGTATCTTCTGGGATCTTTGATAGTCTAGATCCTAACTCTTTAGTTGCCAGATTTTATAGAATAGAGGGACCCCAGTCATAAGGAAGAAAGGAGGACACTTGAGGATTCTGTGGAGCAACACTGGAATCTGAACAACCACCGTGACAGACCAGGTGCACTAATTGACTACCAGCCCCGCTAAAGGACAAAATCTGACACTGAGCTGTGCAATCTGATCTGAAACATTCTTCTTAGCACTGTTCCCACACCCCTCTACATCCCTTCTGTATTACCTATGTGGCCACATCAACTGGCCGCAGAATCCAGCCCCAGGAACATTGGGCCAGGCTGGTTTCCTTTGTTGCCTTTGACGATGCTCCCCAACCTGTCATCTCTGTTGACTGCATTTCTTGGCCAAGCCCGTTTTTTTTTCCCAGTACGGGGATCAAACTCAGTACTTCACAGGCAGGTGCTTATTCTACTGAGCTGCCTCCCCAGCCCCCAAGGCCTGGGTTTTTATCACTGTCACCCAGCACAGTGTATCAGCCTGTGGATGCTCAGTCCTGGCTGACAGATGCACTAATCCCAATGTTCTCTCCTTAAAGGGCGGCCTCAAGGCGGTTGTCTGGACAGATGTTTTTCAAGTTGGCATCATGGTGGCTGGATTTGCATCTGTGATTATACAGGCAGTGGTAGTTCAAGGTGGCATCGAGACGATTTTAAATGATGCTTACGAAGGGGGAAGATTAAACTTCTGGAAGTAAGTTGCTCTTCACCTCCTGGTGAAGGGGATACAAATTCCATTTTCTCTATGCAAATAAACCATTTTGCAATAGTGCGTTCATGTGAGAAAATAACTAGCTGCAGAGCCTAGGATTTAGCTCAGTGGTGTAGCATCTGCCTGGCAAGTGTGAGGTCCTGTGATAGGTTCCTTGTACCCTCACCCCAAACAGCAAAAAACTAGCCTCAAAGGATGAAGCTGGCAGGCCCACATGGAAGGGGTTCCTGCCAGGTCCTCTAAGGGGTCCGAGAACTAGATGATTCCTAGCTACATGGCTTTAGGATGATGTTGTCTCCTGGGAAGGGTTTTTTCCAAAGTTAAAGTCTGGAGCAGGTTAGAAGAGAAGAGATTTAAAGTCTGGAACAGGTTAAAGAGAGATTGTAGAAAAATAACAAAATAAAGCCTCTTAAGAGAAAAATATGAGGGCTGGAGAGATGGCTTAGTAGTCTAAAGCACCTACTTAGAACAAGCTTAGCAAAGCACAGGGACTGCAGTTCAATCCCCCAGCACCACATGCCAGCCGGCCCCGCCCCCTGGTGGGCTGAGCTGGCCACACACACACAAAAATAAATAAATAAATAAAATAAATAAATTAAAAATTAAAAAAAGAGAGAAAAATATGAAAAGACACTTGATTCTCATACTTCATGGGAAAAAGCATAAACATTCCTGAGACTCTTGCACTTCAATACAAATGTTAGGCAACGGGGTAGTATCTCTAGCTTTTCTGTAGAAATGTTGTACTTAAATACATGCAGATCAGAATGCTTTACAAAAATCTCCAAATGCAAGATTTGGAGAAATTTATAATTCTTAGAAAGTATATTACTCATCAGCTTTTCTGTCACCAAGACACAGCTCCTGATAACTGCGACTTAAAGGAGGACAGGCTTTGCGTGGCTCATGTTTTAAGGGGATGAGTCTGTGGTCAGCTGGATCCAAGGCCGTGGCAGCATCCTGCAGAAGGACCTGTGGAGCGTGTGCTGGATTCGTGGCAGCTGGGAAGCAGAGCAGGGGGACAGTGCCAGAGGGGAAGGGTGCAGGACCAGCACCCAAGCTCGCAGCTCACGACCCACCCAGGCCCACCCAGAAGCGCCCCACCGATCCTCTACAGGGCCCCCCAGCCAGTCAGATTAGCGCAGTCAAGATTGACCACCACAATGCTCATAACTGCTAATTTTGGAGCGAGTTTTCAAGTTCCTATTTGATTTCAGAGATGAACAGAGTCCTTCTGAGGTAGTGTGCTAGAAAAAAGGTCCAGCGTTCTGTTGAACATGGAAGTTGAGCTTTCTCTGTAACAACATTTTGGACTTGTGTTTGTGTTACAAGGTGGTTTTAAGCCACTAGTATTCAGCTTGTGCATGCAGCATTTTAGGAAAACATGATTAGAAGAACATATGGTAATTTTAGCAAGTAAAATGTGTTTAAACTGTGCTAATTGACTCACTTCTTCAGCTTGAATTTGAATTAGAACTAGGGCTGTGCATGTGCTAGGAGGGCAAGTGCAGACATAAACCATGTTAATTCGGTGTTCCCTTCAGTACCATGTTGGCTGCTGTGATGAGCTTGGGACTCTGTGTCTCTCCCTCCTTTCCCGCATTTCAGCCTCACGGGTCACTTACCAACAGTTTCCAAAAGCACGGGAGAACAGTTTCCCCAAATGCTCAGAATCATTAAACATGACTTTCCCCTTAGTCCCAACTGGAATTTCCAGATCTCTGAAAATAACGATTGTCATTTCGTTGATCTTGAGTTAGAAGTAGTCTCTTACACTACTTTCATTTTTACGCAGACTTATATGTCTGTAGGTATGTAATGCTTACACTGAAAAATATTCTGGGACGATTTTCTCCAGTGTTGGGTCAGTAATTCTGGCTTGTCTTCTGTGTCTTTTCATTTAGCTTTAACCCGAACCCTCTGCAAAGACACACATTCTGGACGATTATCATAGGAGGGACCTTCACGTGGACCAGCATCTATGGAGTCAACCAGTCGCAAGTGCAGAGATACAGCGCCTGCAAAAGCAGGTTCCAGGCAAAACTGTAAGCCACGCCACGGCTGCGAATCACGAGCAGCTGTCAGCGGGCTTTGTGAGAGCTTCCTGTCAGGCTTAGCTCAAGTTTGTCTTTTGACAAAATGGTATACCTGGCTAAAAGAGACAGAGTACAGCAAAGTAATACTGTATGCTTTAAATCAGGTATTTGAAAATGTTTGTATAAATTATTAAGCAAAACAACCTCATTAAATAGATAAGCAGTTGAAGGATCTATGGGAGATTAAAATACACATGGAGCCTGGGCGTTAGCTGAATGGCAGAGCACTTGCCTAATATCCACGAGGGTATCAACACCTCAAGAATATAAATGGGGAACTGGTGAGATAGCTCAGAGGACTAAGCACCTGCTTAGGCAAGGGCAGGGACCAGGTTCGATCCCCAGTACCTCATGCTGTACTGGCCCCTCTTCCAGGTGCCCTGAGCTGGCCACCGAGATCTGGTGTGGTGGCGCACGCCTGTAATCCCAGTGCTGGGAGGCTGAAAGCAGGAGGAGCACTAGGAGTTTGAGCTGCATAGTGAGACCTTGTACCAAATTATCTATCTATCTATCTATCTATCTATCTATCTATCTATCTGTATAGATAGATATATAGATATATAGATACATAGATATATAGATATCTCATTGTGACAGAACTTTATATCAAATTAGGAAAAATATGCAAGAGTACAAAAAGAGAAACAGTGCTGGAGAGAGGCAGCAGTCCCATGAAGTAATAGAGGAAGCGTACCCAAGCAGCACAATGACCTGAACTTTATTTTCTGCCTCAGTTGTGAGTCTGTGACACTGCTCTCATGCTTGGTGCTTTCATTAGCCTGGACAAAATATCTGTCTTCCCAAACCCCACTTTCTAAACTTGTGAACTGAATGTGAGAAAGACCATACATCTTAGAAGTTCTGGAAGACACTGTACGTGGCACACGTGCAGTAGAGGCCTACTGCATGGGAGTCCCTTTCTTCTTTTTCAGTGTGTGTCCTGAAGGCAGAGTCCCACTTATGGGGCAAGAGACCCAGAAAGAACCAGCGTTATGTGGGCCAGTGTGTGGAAGGGTGATTTGGAGGAAGGCAAGGATAGTGAGGCCAGCGTGGACAGGGACACTCAGGCCCTGCTTGGCTTGAGAACAGTGTCTGGGGCAGTCGGTGGCTGTGTGGTTTTCCTTTGGAAGCCTCAGAGCAGCTTGGTGACTTCTGTCCTTGCGGTGATAGGTAAGGCTGACTTCCTTGTATGCATTGTGGGATTTAAAGCTTTGAATAGATGGAACCAGAGTGGGTAGGGTGGGAGGAAGAGCATCAATTCTGTCCCTGGTCAAAGGGAAACATGAAAATATTGTGATTTTTCTATATCAGAACTCAGAATAGTGAGTGTAAATTGGTTCTGAAGCCAATTCTTTAGAAAAGGCCACAGTGGAAGGTCCTTATGAATTTGGTTATAATTGCTGGCTATAGAATTACACAAACATTGTAAAATATTTTGAAGGGCTGTAATTTACATAAACAGGGATCTTTAAATCTGTATGAGTCTGGCTTCTACCAAAGTAATCGGGTACAGATTCTTCAGTCTCATTGAGAACATGAAACTCAAACCTCATCTCAATTTTGTGGCAAAATCAGTTCCTTTAGAATGGCCTAACATGACTCTAGAACAAGACAGACTTCCTGAGCCTGGGAGACCTGCCTGACTTGGCAACTCCCTTGTGGGTCCTACGGAAACCACGAGTCCCTGCCAAGTGCCAAAACTTGCTGCAGTCTGTTGACAAGCAACGGTACCAGATGTTTATAAGGGATCTACCTGAATATCACTGAAGTCAAATAAAACAGTATGATTTTAGAGTGTAAAACTTAGACATCAGTGGTAGAATGAGAGAGTACCCGGGCATGCTTTTCTTATCTGGAGATGAGATACCGTTACACCAGCTTTAGGTAAGAAAAAAATGTGGTGATATTAGTGAATGCGGAGGAAGAGGCTGGCAGTCTGTCCTTTGGCATCTGCTGCAGGGTGCGGGTGTGGTTCTCCAAGAAACAGACTCTGAGATGGAGGTCAGCATGAAAGAGCTTATTAGGGAATGAGCGCCCAACAAAACAGAGGAAGGAAGCAGGATAGGCCAGAGGGAGACGTTGGATCTAATGCAGTCTCAGTAGAGCCTGAAGGGGGCGCTCTAGAGCTGGGTAACTTCAGACTGACCCCAAGTTGAGGCGAAGGGAATGGGCCTTTAGACCCGAATCTGCTAGGTAGTGGGCCAGACTGCACTAAGGGAAGGAGGCGCGAACTTGGGACACTATACATCTTCCCAGCTCGTCTTGGGATCCCCATAGCACCACTGATAGACAGAGCCACTTTTGTGACAGATATGCTTGCTGCTCTGTTGATTAAATCAAAGTGACTTTGACATTGACACTGAATGTCAAATAGCATCTAGCCAGTTGGTTGGCTGCCGAGCATGGCACTAGGTGAGGTGCTGTTCTCTTTGGTCTTGTACCTCTGTGACTTGGGCATTTTTATCCCTGAGCGTAAGTGAAGAAACAGGATCAGAGGGTCTGAGTACTTGGTCACAGCCACAGCGTGGGAGAGGCAGGATTTCTGCCCAGGGTGGATTCGAGTACTTTGATGTACACACGCATACTCTACAAAAGCGTGGGGTGATGTCACACTGAACGAGGTTGAGAAAAAACCTGCCCAGGGCATACAGACCTGAGTCTTACACTCTCTGGGTGGTCTTATAAACGACACTAACCTTGTTGTTGAGTTGCTATGTAGACAATGGTAATTATGATTAGCAGTGTATGATTGTATTAATTTAATTTATTTTTTGTATGGGGAATCCACCTCAAGACCTCGCACTTTCCAGGCAGGTGCTATATCCCATACTCTCATATTAAGTTTTAAAAGGAAAATGAATAATAGCTGCTGCTCCATTGCTTGTGAAAATACTTATTTCCTGATACAAAGATCGAAAGCAGTGTAATTAGATGCCATGATAAACTACTATGCCTGTGGGATTCTAGCCAGAAGGATGCACACATTTAATAGGAAAACACCATCTGTTATAAATATCAAATACATTATCGACCGACATCATAAGCAGATTAGAAGAGAATGAAAAATAGCATTTTTGATAGCCACAAGATAATGCGCCTTTATCAGATATAATCCTGAAGCTCTCTTCTGCTCCCGTAACAGGCTTCCTTGCTGTCTCCTCCTCTCCAGGTCTCTCTACATCAATCTTCTGGGACTCTGGGTGATCCTCACCTGCTCGGTGTTTTGTGGGCTGTCCCTGTATTCCAGGTACCGTGACTGCGACCCCTGGACAGCCAAGAAGGTGTCTGCAGAAGACCAGGTCTGGTACCGCGGCTTAGTTACACAGTGTTCATGATTTTCAGAGCCCCCCGGGAGAGCAAGAGGAAACTCGGCTCGTGTAGAGACAGCAAATGGGCCTGAGCTGGTCACGCTCGCTTCTGGAAAGTCTGTGGCAGAAATTTATTTCAGCAGGTAGCGCAAGGATGAAGGATGCTGTGTCAAGTCAAAATATTGGAACACCTAGGAAAACTTCTAGGCGAATGTTAAGTAGAAATCACACAGTGCTGGAGGCAGAAAGGTAAACATGATTTGAAAATCCTACACACAAATGATGAGCACCTTTTAGCTTATAAATGGCAGAGAGACGGATCTAACAAGGGAACACGGACCACGTATCAACTACACGAGGAGATTCTGTGCCGAGAGCTCTGTGTGCTTCTTCACATTGCCTTGACCCTACAGCCCTAACTTAGAGATGAAGAACTGAATCCCATAGGTTTTCCATTGGGCCCTGGGGCCACTTTGCAAGTTATACAATGATTGCGAGCTTTCACCAAATCCTTACCGCGGGCCAGGCACTGTCCCGTGGATTGATTTTTAATTTTTAGTTTTCACAGCTGCATTCACAGGCACTAAGTAAGCAACTAGTCAGGAGTGCAGCATCCGGGATCAGATCCACCTGTGGCAGGCTGCCCCTCGTCGCAGGGACCCGTGAACTGTGCGTTGTCTTCTGAGAAGTGTAGCTAGGATTCGGATCCAGGGCTGCCCAACTCCAAAACCTGCAATCTCCCCAGAACTAGTCTCTAAGAGCTGCTCGTCGATCAAACAATCAAAGACCTCAAAAACAAAGACAGGCTAATCTTTATGCAAGGACATCTCAGACTCACCCCACCCCATGCAATTTTGTGGGTTAGGAAATGAAGTTTTCTGCACAGACTGCGGCGATCACGCCCAGAAGGCAGAGCTGGGGTCTCGATAGCATTCGGCTCCCACCATGCCTGCCAGTGTTCCTCGTTGACACTGCCTGTGCCCGAGGGACTTGTTCAAAGCGTGAGCTCATCACACTAAAAATTGTTTCCATGCCAGGTTCTCCTTGTTGCTAACTTATTTTGATGTGGTACATTTGTTGCAACTGATAAACCGACAATGATACATTATCATGAAGTACGGTTTACATTAAGATAGATGCTAAGAATTTTTCCAAATGCATGACGCTAGGGACCCACTTTACTGAATCATACAGCATCATTTCTGTATGATGCTTCACCTATTTCTCCTCCTACACTGATTTTCTACCAATCAGTGATCTTTTACTGTCTCTCTGGTTTTGTGTTTTTCAGAATGACAGATAGCCTCTTAGGCTATCTACAAGCTACTTTTTCCATGTATTCCCATAGTTTGATAGTTCATTCTCAATGCATAAACATTGTTTAGTTCAAAAATTTTAACTTGACACAGAATAAGTATACATTCTCATCGGATACAGTTTCAAAAGTTGCATACTGAAGGTTTTTGAGAAAGCTGTTTGATAATAGGGTAGATTTGGGATCTTATTATAATGTAATTCTGGAAGCTTTACTTTTGATTAGGTTCGACAAGCTGTTCACTTTTTTATTTAATTAATTTTATTGAGAAAGAAATAGCAATGAGACATTTTCAAAACAGGTTAGTAGGACAGTTACAATAATCAATGCATTGCATATTGTTGTCTTTTAGTAGTTATTCAGAGTACAAGATATCTTGTCTAAACACTATTAGTACAAATCTTTTTTCTCATTGAACTAAGAGGAAGTAGCTGTATATCTATAACTATTTTAGCTTATTTGAAAAGCCCCCTTCCCCCTCTTCTTCCCCTTTTCCCCCCATTTTCAGTTGAGACCGAGGAGCTCTGAAGGCTGACAGGACAGAGCTGTCATCCCCTTTGTGGTGGGAGATGCACTCAATAACTTCTCTATGCAAAGAAGAGTAGACTTCCCAGGAGGACTTGTCCACTTGGGATTCTTTTTACTCAAAAATTAACACTGTAGAAAGATTTCTGGATGATGTAGTCCAGAGTCACTTACATGCCCATTATTATTTAGTATTTATTTAAAAAATGTAAATCCTACAAACCAAGTTGGTATCAGGAACTTTGCAAAGACAGGACAATTTCTAGGACTTCTGAGGTCTATTTCCAACCATTGCTGTGTTTGTAGTTCCCCATAGTGTTCCCACACTATGGGGAACTACATCTTTATGGGGAATTACATCTTTATTCTTGGATAGTGCTTGAAAATTTTAAAATATCCTAGAGTCATAAGGAGAGAGAGAGAGAGAGAGAGAGCGAGAGCTGCTTATTTAAGCAAAAGAGTCTGTAGATACTCCCTTAAAAATGCCCTACTATTGCATAGCATGAGAGCTGCTTTTATTGAGTATTCACTATACTGCATGTTCTATGCTGAAAGCTTTTCATAGATCAGATGAGGAAACTAAAGCTCAGAGAAGTTAAGCAACCAAAGCTGTCTCTGTCTGAATCCAAAACCTGGTTCCTTTGCTATTGTGCTTTTTTGTTGAAATGTTGGCAGTTGTAGACGTCACTTTTGGGTATTCTAAAATTTCCTTTGGGTGGAGTAATTCCTTTACTTTCTGGAAGAACAAAAGCTTTAGGTGCTCAGGAATTGGTTGGTTTTGTTTAATTACCAGTGGAGCTTAGGGCTACATTTTGGAATTTTTCAGCTCATGCCTTATCTGGTTCTGGACATCTTGCAAGATTATCCCGGAGTTCCTGGGCTTTTTGTGGCCTGTGCTTACAGTGGAACCTTAAGGTATGCACTGTTAACTCTGATAAACTGCACAATGTTATTTCATAAACATGGTATCTGTAAAAAAAATCTTTACATTTTAAAGCAGCAGTCAGTTTAAGACACACATGTGGCAAAAGCATGATCAACTGAAACATTAGAATTAAATCTCTTTACATGTTGAGAGATGCCCTTTCGTCTAAAGCATTTTGTATTTTGTCATTGCCCTTCTTCCAGTGTTTGTCCTGAGTGACATTATCGGCATGAACACCAGACATTAGTGAGGATTCTGGAAAGGAATATTTGCAGCACATGTTACCGAGGGCTTATGACTATCCTTTCAATGCACAAAGAAGAATATGTCTTGCAGTCATGGAATAATGTAATATAATACAATAATACAATAATGGACACAGAGGACTGGCTGGAAAATAGAGGTGATGCTGGGGCATCCTTTACCTTTACCATCCAGCCATGCCCTGGATCATTCTTAGATGATAACCAGTTTTAAAGAGGCTTTGGCTATGAAAAATAGCAAAATCTAGTTACAGTTCAGGAGTGTCACTTTGCTTCCTTCTTTCTCACTCCCACAAAAAATACTGTTATAGTTGACATATTATTAATCAAAGCATTTTTTCTTCTTTTTTCTGTATAGCACTGTGTCCTCCAGTATTAACGCATTAGCAGCGGTGACTGTGGAAGATCTCATCAAACCTCGTTTCAGGTCCCTCTCAGAGAGGTCTCTCTCTTGGATTTCCCAAGGAATGAGTAAGCTTCCATCTCCCCAGCTCCCTTTTAGCTCCGGAGAGGTGACTTCTTTTGAGACACTAGAAATCCTTTTTCCCTAACAAAGCATTAAGCACATCTCGGTGTGAATATATACCACATCCAAGTGCCTACAACTTAATGCAGACATAGTCATCATATTTGCAACCAAGATTTGGATGATACTTTAAATATTTCAGGCCAGGCATGATGGTGCACACCCATCATCCCAGCACTTGAGAGGCTGAGGCAGGAGGTTGCTATGGGTTTGAGGCCAGCTGGGCTGCATAGTGAGCTCAAGGCCAGCCTGAGCTGCTCAAGAAGACCTGTCTCCAAGGACAATTTCATTGTCAGTGGACCACAAAGGACCGTTTTCAGTAGTTGATAATATAGCCACAGTTTTCTTTCATTTGACGCTTTCTGTGAAGTCACTGTCTCGAAATATATGAAGCAAGGACTTCATAGATAAGAAGAACATGATAAATTGTTCCAGTGTTTTGTCCACTAATTTTGAGTACTGAAACTATAACAGTGACTGTTTACGACCTCCCATATGGGGACGAATCAGGCTAAATGCAGCAAGAAACAATGTCAAGCTTCTACAAAATTCAGGTGTAATAGATTATTTATGCATTACACTTAACAAAGGGTATGAATGCTAGTGTAAATAAAATAAGTAACATAATTTAAGAACCACACTAAGTTCATGAGGAGGACTTTCTTGTATTTTTAATTTTGGGGATTGGAAAGCCTCTTGACTGATCTAAAATGATTTTTTTCTGGATGAATTTTTTCAAAAAATAAAAGATAGTAGATAATGTTTACTTAATTTAAAAAAGTAAATGCATGTACCTGGAGAAAAAAAAATGGAAAAAAATGAGTCACAGGAGGAAATGAAAATCTCTCAATCTGACAAACATTGGTGGCTTAAGAACTTCTCTGGAAAAGTTTGGGGAAACACTTCAGCAGAGCCGGGAGTAGGAAGCTTATCTTCACGTTTCCTTTCTTACTAGTTTATCAGGAAAGGCTTGGGCTGCTGCAGGCTGCCCTCAGTGTGGGTTGCCAGGTCTGGCGAGGGCCCAATGCTGAAGTCAAAAGGCTCCAATTTCTGGTGTTTATTCCTCTCCTCTCCCTCCTTTTCCCCTGTGGTGGCTGAGCACGAAGTCCTGAGCCTTCCTTTATACACACATTGACAGCAGATTAAATTTATAACACAATACAGTAGTTCTTAGTTTTAAGATTCCTGTTGTTAATTCCAGGGATTCTTTCCTTACATAACCTGCCATTGTTATACCTAATTCTGGGCACAATACATGTGGGCTCTGTTTGTCCTCCTAGCACGCAGCCAGTTTGGGAGGGAAACACCTCTTTCTTTGTTTAGCTGCCTCTGATGTGTGTGGTATTCATCTCAGTTGTATAATCTCTCTGACCCAAAAGAACAGGCACCCCTTCTACTGGGAATTCCAGTTCTCTGGGTCTCGATCTCACAGAGCCTGTTGTGTCGCCCACCTAGGTGTGCTGTTCGGCATGTTGTGCATCGGAATGGCTGCGCTGGCCTCGCTAATGGGAGCTTTGCTACAGGTGAGAGCGGGCAGGGCTGTGAGTCATAGCCGCTAGATTCTTTCTTTGATGTCCATGTACTGTGCTTCCAGACTTCTCTCTATGGGTATCTGCACATAGATCTATCACAGGACAGAGATGACTATATGTTTAAAAGGTTTTTAAAAACTCACTAGTTACAGATTGACATGCAATCGCAAGAACAAATGCAGATTGCACATATGGGTTCCACCCACTGGCAACGTCTCGCAGAAGCATCTTGGAGTGGAAACCGTTTGCTAAGACAGTATCACAACCAGAATGCTGACCTGAAGGCAGTAAGATGCAGAACCATTGTACCACTGGCAGGGTCCTTCCCGATGTCCTTCATTGTCACACCTGCTTCTCTCCTGTCCTGCTCCTTTGGCCTTTGGTGACCATGAATCTGTTCTCTATTCTGATAATTTTGTTATGTCAAGAGCATTACATAGGGCTGGGGACATAGCTCAGTAGCACAAGCACCTACCAGGCAAGAACAAGGTCCTGAGTTTGATCCCTGGTACTGCAAAAAGAAAATAAAAGTTCTACAAGAGTGTTAGATAAATGAAATGGGGTTGTATATAGTCATGAGATCTCCCTGGCTCCTTCTATGAAAAATGAGTTTCAATGGAACCTGGGCTTTTTTTCTTACTTGATCTTATACCTGCTATTTTAGCTGGCTTTCTTTGACACCACTGTCACAGGGCCAGGGTGATGACTACGTCATTACTGCTGTGCAGAGGCAGAAGGCCAGCTTCCTCACCTGGCCTCAGTTGACACCTGAGGAGAGCTGTTTGCCTTTCCGGCTGTGGCTGTGGAGTGCCGCTGAAGACAGTGTGACAGTGGGATCAGTAGTGTAGTTATAGCCACACACTTGCTCAGGGGTTCTGCAGGCTGCCACGGTATGTCCCTTGCAGTGCAATGCAAATTGACGCTAGGGATCACCAAGTTTACGCCGCAGAGTTCCAGGAGACAAAGCCACCTCTATACAGACGCAACGGTCCTACACTTCAGAGCAAAGCTTACCCTGCAAAAATAGCTTCTTCTCTGTGAGAGAAACATCTGGCAACTGACCCAGGCTGTGCACAGATGTGACCAAGCGGAAGGAGCCCCAGACTCTGAGCGTGGTCTCTGGGTGGAGACCCTCCCCGTCCTTCAGCCATGTGACCCCCACCCATATCTGGACCTGGCCTATTTATTTGGGATAACTTGGAGCTTGGGTTGCTGCCACCCTCATTTCTGCTTCCTATCAGATGGCCCAGAGTCAGCCCTCTGAGTGTGTCCTTATTGGTCCTTTGTCACTTGTCCAGGATTTACAACAAAGTCCTGATCACTATTTTAAAAATTTTGGTATTGATGCTTGAACCGAGGGCCTTTGCAATGAGCTGTGTCCCCAGCCCCTTTATTTTTTATTGTTTATTTTGAGACAGAGTCTCCCTAAGTCACTAAGCTTGTCAGGCTGGGCTTGAACTTGCTATCCTCCTGCCTCAGCCTCCCAGAGTGTACCACAGTACCTGGCTCTGATAGCCACTTTTGAACCACTCCTCTCTCACCATGCGTGAATCTGCCCTAGCTCCACAGCCTAACCTGCTCCCACTCACTCCCTTTAGTGGTCAGTGGGGCCCCAGCCTACTCCACCCTCACTGCAAAAGACGCAGTTCAGCTCCCAGCAGAGGGTTCTGGGGGTGGTCCGGCTCCTCACCCTGCCAAGAGGATCTGCTCAACATCTGGCTGACTGTGGAGAGCAGAGTCCTCTAAGCACCCAAGCCCAGTTCCTGCAATTAGGTCGTCAGATGAATTGGTCGCTAAATAAGGAGTTACATAGCGTGTGCAATATTACAATATTCAGAACAAACACATGATCAAAGAAAACTCCAACTCAGTGACTTTGCTTTTGTTCACATAACTCTTACATGAAGTACTGTGATGCATAACGGAACATAAAATTACAAAACTGTACTGTTCAGAACAATCAGCCAAAATCAGAGGACTGCGTAAACAAGGTGTACTGTGCAAGAAAAGACACGGAAGCTCTATGAACAGGATGTACAGTCCTGTGCAAGAAAAGGAGGCAGGTTATCACGCCGCAGAGCTGTTAGGTAGGTCATTAAGTGGAGAATATCTGTACTGTATACTGTCAGGCTTCGGCAGCCTCTTAGCTCTAGAGCTCCCAGAGCTCGAGGTGGAGTGTGGATCCTACAAGATCTGAGACTAATGTCCATCACGGGCCCGTTCAAGTGTCTTGCAGGGCTGGCTCTGTGTTGCTTAGCACCATGACGCAAGATTTCCAAGCCTGGTCAGGGATTTCCTGGCCACCCCAGCATCATTACTACTAGCACTTAGTCTGAGTCTCTTTTTAAAATTCTGTCCTGGCTGATTATACATCGTGACATTTCCCAGCAAATCCATGCTACTCCGAGCCAGCTCTTCCTTGTTTCTTTGCTAATCAAGATCTTATTCCTCTAACACAGTCGTGGCGAATCTTTTAGAGCTTTCAGCGATAAGGAACAGCCAGCTGCAGTGCACGTGCAGAGGTTCCCTACCGCTGCTCTACCTAACAGGTGCATTTCTTGGTGTCTTCCTCCTCTCTCCAAAACTGGATCCTGATCCTGCTTGTCACCACTGGACTCACGGGCCACGTGCTACTGGTCACACCTTGCACAGGGCCCGTCTCCTGTCCTCCTGGATTCTGTGACAGCTGACTTCTGATCACGTCCTTCTTCAGCAGTTATTTGCCATTCCTTGTTCTTCATGTCACAGAGCCTCCTCTCTCTTGTGCTTTATATCTCTGTGTCAAAGCAAGTCTTGGATCTCCTTCCACGCCACGTGCGCACATCCACCTCGGTGCTGGCCTGCTCGCAGGATCCTCTGTCTCTGCACTTTGGTGCCTCTTTGGACAGAACCTGATGGAGCAGGTGGACCCTCGTGATTGGGAACAGGAGTTGCCAGGTTCTAATGACCTCTTTGTAAATGACAGGGCTGCCACAAGAAGAAGAGGACTCGAATCTTTTGATCTTACCCTGATGGGAGCACCTCGATCTACAGTTTGTGTCGAGTTGCTCACTGTAATTTTGCATTCCTTTTGTCTTCTTAGGCGGCTCTCAGCATATTTGGCATGGTCGGAGGACCTCTTCTAGGCCTGTTCTCCTTGGGCATTTTGGTTCCCTTTGCCAACTCCGTTGTAAGTATAAAGACTCAATGTGGATCCAAGTTATTTCCCCAGCTGCAGCAGCATCTCTACATCTTTCACTCTGTTGTAAAGCTGCGGTTGCTCTGAGGTGTGCTGTTCATTCGTTGCTTCCCCTGATCATTTCACTACTCATTTTGACTGTGACGGAGGTTGTAAGGAAGTAGTTGCTGTAGCCTTGGGGACTGCAGTCCTGAAGCTCAATGCAAATGGCCAGCTCCATAGAGAACAACTGTAAAGATTTGTAATGTGACTAAAGGAGCCACGTTCCTGTGCCCTTCTGAGGGGTGAATAATCGCTAGTTTGAAGAGATCAGCACCCTCAGATCTGAGCAATTTAAGGACAGTAAAGCTGAGGATGCCTGTGAAGAGTCACAGCACAGCAAGAAGTAGTAAGAGCCTCACCATCTTGGCCCAAAAGCTTGTGCTTCTGATATTTAAGGCTGTGGCCCCCAGAACATGACTCCTGCTCTGAGGAGGTGATTGCATATGGGAACATTACCCAGGAAGAGTTGGCAGCTCTGGTCTTCTAGGCAAACCCATCTGTCAATGTAGTATTCAGAATGAGAAATGCTGAATTTTGCTTGGGATAAATAAAATCCAAGTTATTTCTCTGAAAGCCAAGAGAAAAGTCCACTAGTTCTGTGCTGCTAGGATGACATTCAGGAAAAACTGCTAGTGTACGTGTGTTTCTTCCAGACATTTGTAGAATAACTGTAGGACTGTAATTTAATATACAATAATATATTAATGTAATATAATTTCCTTTCTCCTTCCAAGGCATGGGAAACTGGAAAGGCAGATTCTAGTAGGGACTAATATTTCTATTATTACTAACAAGTCTGAACAAGGTTTTATGAGAGGCTAGTTGGGTTGGGTAGAAATTAATTGCAGCAAAGCATATTAGTCGAACCCCTGATTGGCCTTTGCATTTGGAAATGCATGGTGGTTTGTTTGTTGAGGGAAAAGAATTAGCTTTTGCTTTCCTTTTTTTTTTTTTAAATTTCGTACATTTTGTTTTATTTTTATTTTTTCAAGTCCAAATTATTTGTCTATTTGTAATATTGTTGAATTTATAATTTTTTGTGTTTATTTTTAATTTTTATTTTTAAAATAATTTTATTGAGAAACAAATAGCAATGAGACAGCTTCAAAGCCGATTATTAGCACAGTTTCAATAATTAATACACTGCACATTGTTGTCTTAGTGGGGACTAATATTTCTATTATTACTAACAAGTCTGAACAAGGTTTTATGAGAGGCTAGTTGGGTTGGGTAGAAATTAATTGCAGCAAAGCATATTAATCGAACCCCTGATTGGCCTTTGCATTTACAAGATGCAGACATGATATCCTGCCCACAAACACTATTAGAACAAATCTCTCTATTCCTTGAGTTAAGAGAATGCAGTTGTATATCTATCCTATTTTGAATATACAAAATGGTCGTTCATTTGTATCTCCCTTTTTTGTTTAGTTTTGTCAGAGAAGGGTGTTCTATTGTCATTTAAATAGTGTAGGTGTGTGAATTCTGCAAAATATTCCAGTATAGCCCAGTAATACATAATATTAGTGGGTTTTTTGTAAGACTGGCAGTGTTAGAAGTTGTTGACTTGAGCCTCTTACAGCTCAGCATATTAATATGGCTTTACTTTTTATACTTCGTTTTTATACTTTTCTGCTGGATGGTTAAGACCTAGATAAAGAAAGACCTATGTAACAAGAAATGTAACTTTTGTATATGACAAGGTCAGTCAAATCCCCTTAGGATTTGTCCTGAAACCCTGTACCGCAGTTTGCAGATCCTGTGTCAGTGTCAGTCATGTGGATGAGTCACGGCCATTGCCTGACCAATGTGCTCTCTGTGAAAGCCAGAGAGAATGTTTTCTCTCCATGTGAGTCTCCTTAGGCACACTAATCGTCGATCATTTTCCTCTGTGGCCCCATATGACTCATGTTGCCATCACGAACAGCCTTTGGGAGGGCTGTAGCTGGTATCCCGGATACTATTATTTTTTGCCATAGAAAGTACTTTTTTTTTTTTTTTTACACCATTTCCACATTTATCACCCCAGATTATCTCCCTTCCTTTGGAGTGGCCTCTTGTCTCCCTCCCCTCTTTCCTCCTATTCTCCTTCACGTTCTCTCCCAGACAGAATGGATATTTATGTTTATGGGCTGAGCACTATTTTAGGAACAGACAGCTGAGCATCTCTGCCCTTGGGTTGTGGGTTTTATAATTTTGTGGACTCTCGATGAAGCCTGCACCACGTTGAGGGAGCTAGGTCTGCCCCATCAACAGCTGGCCACTGGAGCTGACTACTCCAGCCAGGATTGTTGCGATCCTACTTTGTGTCCCATACCACAATGTCTGCAGGGGCACTGAAAAGGAAGAGCTTGGAGTCAGCTCCCAAGAAGGTGACAACTTCTGAAAGATCTCCCAGTCCTTGTCCCCGACACAAATCCCACGACCTGGCCAGTGACGTTTTTGCTCTCCCTTGGACACATAGTTCTTCCCTGCCCCCCGCCCCCCCCCATGATTTCACTTAGAGTTGCCCTTGCCTCAATACTCTCCCTTTTTCTCCGAGGGCAGCGCCTGGTGGAGGCTCAGCCACCCTGACTCACCATTGCTCCTAGAGTCCACCACAGGGGCGGGGCTTCCCAGCTCAAGGTGTACGTCTGCTCGGCCTTTGCAACTGGGGCTTACAAGCTCTTGAGTGCAAGGACTGATGGAGCGGCTGGGGTTCTGGTGTAAAGTGGAGACCCAAATCTTGCAAAAGACAAGAAACCCAGCATCTTCAGAGGACACTGGCCAGGATCTCCCTCTCTGTTTCTGTCTTGTTCTGGGATGTGATCTGACTCCTGGCTTGGCTGCAGCCATGTGTCACGAGGCCCGTTCATTCCCCCCTAGCGATCCTGCAGCTCACTTGTCATCCCTTGTGCTGTGCACTGCAAGGATGACACGGATGTGCTCCCGTACACATACTCTGTCCCATATGTGGAGTGCCATTTGTTTGCAGATGAAATGAACAGCGGGCCAGCTGGCCTATTGTCAGCTAGCTTCGTGACTGTTGAAGTTTTGGGGGTATGAAGGGATGGGGAGATCAGAGCCCAGGGCTGGCCAGGAAAACAGAGCTGAAAAATTGGAAGCATTCAACATTGCAAAGAAAAGTGGGCTGGAGTTAGTGAGACATTAGACAAGGCCATGAAAAAGTGGTCTGGTCTGGTAGCTCTGGCATTCTAGGCTGAGGGGCCGGGCCTGTAGGTGGGAGTCAGAGCTCCTACAAGGGACAGCAGGTTCAGAAGGGAGCTTGCGAAGGCAGCACTGACCCAGTAGAATTGAACTCTCCAAGGGTTTCATCCCAAAGCCAACAGCATTTTCATTCTGTGAAAAGGGGTCTTGTTTTCCAGGGAGCATTTGTTGGTTTGTTGGCTGGATTTGTCACGTCCTTGTGGATTGGAATTGGGGCTCAACTTTATCCCCCACTTCCTGAGAGAACGATGCCTCTGCACCTTGCCACGTACGGCTGCAACAGCACCTACAATGCGACCGATGTGGTGACCGCCACGGAAATGCCGTTTTCTACTAGCGCTTTTCAAATCCACAATGTGGAAAGGTATTCGGTTTTATAATCTACCTTTAAGACTTATGCAACACGTGGAGAAATCCAGTTGCTTATTATTGTCTTGCCCATGTCAAGACAACATGATGTATTCCTGATTCTGAACCTGGTAGAGCCCTTGTGGGTCTTTGGCTAGCCCATATTATTCAGTGATAGCACTAGGGACATATTTTCTGAATTTCTATAGAAATTTCTGCCTTAGCTTCAGGTCTAATGGAAACTTGAATGTTATTTTAAAAATCTGTTATGGATAAACTACCAAACACTTAACTCTAGTTGCATGAAAAACTACCTGTCTGTGAGGCTTGGGAGATAGCTCAGTGGAATAAGTGCTTGCCTGGCAAGTGCAAAGTCCTGAGTTTGATCCCTGGTACCACCAAAAAAACAAACAACAAGAACAGCAACAACAACAACAAAATGAAGAAGCAAAACCAAACCAAAGCTGTTTGCGTCCTCATCTGTTCCAGCCTGTGCCTTGCTCGGCTGGTGTTTCCCCCTCTCTGGGAAGCTTGCAGTTACTCAGATTTTGGTTCAAATGTCATTTCTTGTCAAGCGTTTTTTTCTGAGCGCTTGTGGTAATTTAGCCCCTCTCTCTACCCTGCTGAGGTTACATCATCTTGCTCTAGTTGCCTCATAGGACTTCCCAAGAGTGAAACTTACGTTCATTAGGGCTGGCCATATAGCTCAGTGGATTAAAGTGCCTGCAAGCAGGTGCAGGGGCCAGGGGTTTGATCCCTGGGCCTGCCATACCAGCCCCACCTTTGGGGCGTGCTGAGATGATAATTGATACTGTGTGTGGTGGCATGTGCCTGTAATTCCAGCTCTTGGGAGGCTGTAAACAGGAGGATCATTTCAAGTTCAATCTAGTAGTGAGACCCTGAATATCCTGTAGACCCTTCCCTAAAATACAAAAAAGAAATTATGTTCATTTGCTTGCTTACTTGTTTGTTGTATTTCTCTGCCCATTGGGATATAAATGTTAGTGGACAGGAACTTTATTTGCCTCACCCATGGCTGGTTCCCATGATGAGAACAATGCCTTGGACAAAGCAAAGGGAAAAAGCTAAGTTAGGCTCAGGATTCCAGAGGATGCAGTCCGTGGCTGCTTGGCCGTATGCCTTTGGGTCTGTTGTGGTGCAGTACATCATGGTGGGAGAGCACAGCAGGAGTGGTGTAGAGGAGCCAGAAAGGAAGGGCCGAGGTCCCCGGTATCTCCTCTGAGGGCCCTGTGCCCCAAGACTCCCCATGACTAGCCTTTTTCTGCCCTGCTCTGCCTCTTATGGGCTCTACCACTTCCCAGTAGCACCATGGGCTGGTGACCACACCCTTAACACTGGGCCTTTAGAAGACATCAACTCCAACCCTAGCAGTGTGTGACCTAGAAATGCAAGTTGAGTCACACTGAGTGAGAGAGCTGAGCTCACTTGGGTAAAAACGAGGGTCCTTGCTGCAGAGGTAACACGTATGTTAGGTGTCCAGAGGAGGCGTTGCAAAGACGGCATCTGAGAGAGCTCCCGTTTCATAGACTGAAAATGACAACCACAACAAGGTGGCAGGGGCTTGGTTGGTGCAGCTGGTGGGAATGGCACAGCACGTGGCCATTCTTTGGCCACGTGTATTTTACCTCCTGCTGAAGAGTTATAATAAGCATGGACGGCTTCCACTGGGGTTGTTATTATTTTTATGGTGCTAAAAAGTCCACAGGACCTTGCCCCACAGTGACCTGGGTGACGGGGTTTTAGATCCTTTTCCAAGTTTACGGTCAGGGCCATATTTTTAATTTGTGGCCCAGTAGATAAATATTAGAACAGAAGATTATGACATTATAGACATTATTAAATGTTGTATTTTTACCATTATGAAAATCTTTAATCTAAATATGTAGTTGCTAGTAGCACTGCACTAAATCTTACTGCTCTGTTTGTGCTTTTAGGACTCCACTGATGAATAACTGGTACTCTTTGTCCTACCTGTACTTCAGCACTATTGGGACTTTGACAACATTTTTTATCGGGATGTTTCTCAGTTTATTAACAGGCAAGTATCTTAACAATATTGTTGTTTGTACAGTGGTTTTTACTATACCTGTCCTATAGCTTTCTATGTTCTTTTAATATGATCGTGTTAACATCCAGTTTAATTATTTCTTCCTTTTCACTCATGGGAATTTGAGAGCATGGATTTGATATCACCTCTATTTGAACCTCAGTTCTCTATTGGCATATGCATAAATCTAAGTAAGTCATGCAGAGACTCTGAGTCTTAGCTTCCGGAAGAGTAAGGTGAGGGTGATAAGTGACCCGCCTCCCTCACAGGTTCTGCAAAAGTAAGATGTTTGCAGAAACTGCCGATAGCTGCTGTAAAGGTCTCACACACCAACCTTATTCCAGGATCTTTCTATTGTTCCATGTTGGCTCTTTGTAAACTGTAAATAGGTGAATAATAATTGTGACATTTGTGTCTAAGCATAATATAGAAGTTTTTAAAAATGTTAATAAATCTTAAAAATAAGTATCTGTAGAAAAATTAAACTGAGAGTACCCATAGTGCTGATTGGCATATGGGATTGCTGTGCAGCTTTTATCCTTGGACATTATTTTATTTTCCTTGTGAGAACTCTCTTATCCTCTGTCCAGTGTAGGGTTCCCTGCTGCCTGTACCCCTTAGTCCTTATTTTTGTTTATGATCTAATTGAATGACAACATCCTACAACACTTCCTTGAAAACCAGGAGACAAGAGGAGGAGTTTTGGAAACTTTGCATGTCTGAACAGTTATTTAATCCGCCTTGCACTTGATCCGTAACTTGGTCAGGAGTCTTAGGCTGAAACTCACCTGCCCATTTTTCTGAGCAGATTCTTAATTTTCTCCTGGCTGCTGTGCTGCACTTGTGCACTACAACCGTGCTACCTGCTGGCCCTTTCCTGTGCCCCACAGTCACAGGGACCGCCTTGGCTTGGGCTTTCTGGAGGGCTCTTTTATTTTTATTTTTATTTTTGGAGGGCTCTTTCAATCTGAAGACTCATGTTCTTCAGCCCTGCTTTCCTTATGTTATTTCTCTTGTAATTTCTGCTATTTTCTGTCATCTCTTTATGGAAGCTTCTGTAAGTCAAATGTTTGAGTCGCAGATAGTTTCTCTAATCTTTTTGTCTCTTCTCTCCTATTTTCCATTTCTGTGTCTTTTAGGTCTCATGTATGGATATTTTTTCATTTGCTCTCTCAAAGCATCTCAAAGGAGCCCTTGATCCTGTTTTGAGCGTAGTCTGTAGGGACTGAGGGCGGGTAGCTGGCCATGACTGGGGTCCAGGAAAGAGATCACAGTGGCTTGGCCTGGGACAGAGGTGCAGGCCGCTGAGGTACTGGATTCCCTAATCCCCACAGCACACACCCCTTCCCACCCATGAGCAGCAGCGGCTCTGGCAGCTGCTATGATGTGTTATGGTCACTCAGCAACGCAGCACCCAAGTGTTTCGGGTCTTCATTTGCTTTATGCTACAAAGCTACCCGTGCAGCCCTGCTGCATAGAATCCTATTACCAGTGATTGGTTTTGGCTCTTAGATAGCCCTGTCTTTCAACCTTACTAGCATATTACAGTGATCCAGGCATATATATATATATATATATATATATATATATATATATATATATGAACCACCACAATTAATGATAGCTCTACTCTGTCATAAGGAATAACTGAGAGTCATTCATAAGAAAATAGATGCACCTTGAGACCAAAACATTAAGGGAAATACATCAGGCACACAAGCTGAAGTATTGCGTGTTTTCCTTATATGAGAAACCCAAAGTATAAATAAAGAGCAACATAAAAAATAGACAGCAAGAAGTAGTGAGATAGAGCCTTCTCAAGCAGGAGGGAGGTTGAGAGATGGAGGGAGGGAAAGAGAGGAAGGAGAGTGGGTGAACAAGGAATGCGTGTGTGCTGTGTAAACATACCGCTTAGACACAAGGGATGTAACATATACTGCAAACATGGGACAATAAAAATAAATTTTATAACTGGTAATTTTAAACTTTATAGGTATTTTTTCCATAATTTTATTGAGAAACAAATAGCAATGAGACAGTTTCAAACCAAATGGGTAGGACAGTTTCAATAATTAACACATTGCATACTCTCTTCCTAGTGGTTAATTGCTGTACAAGATGCGGACTTGATATCCTATTTACAAACACTATTACAACAAATCCCTCTATCCATTAAGAGAATGTTACTTTATATCTATCCTAACCACTTTGAATACACAAATACAAAATGGACATTCATCTGTATCCCCTTTTTTTGTTAAGTTCCATCATTTAAATATTATAGGTGTGTAAACTCAGCAAAATATTCTAAAAGAGTTCAGTAGTCCATAATAGTATTGAGTCTTCTGCTTGATGGGCAATGTCAGAAATTGTTGACCTGAGTCCTTAAAGCTCAACATAACAGCATGGCTTTACTTCTTATACTTTGCTTTTATACTTTGCTGCTGAATGGTTAAGACCAAGGTAAAGCAAGACCTATGCAACAAGAGTTGTAGCTTTTGGGTCTGAAAAGGCCAGTCAAATCCCCTCAGGATTTATCCTGAGATCCTGTACCTCAGATTGTAGAAACTTTGTCAGTGTCAGCCATGTGGATGAGTCACGGCCATTGCTTGATCAATGTGCTCTCTGTGAAAGCCTGAGAGAGTGTTTTCTCTCCATGTGACTCTCCTCAGGGACACTCTACATCATTGATCACTTTCCTCTTTGGTTCCATAATCTCCTTGATCAGAAAATTTGGGACACTACTGAGTTACATGACATTACAGTACAAGTTCTCATATGTCCTGAGTCTTAATTGACCTTGGAAGGCTAGGGCCAAAATGTTGGCTTTCCTTGTGGCCCTCCTTTTTCTCTAATTTTTGGTCTGCAAACTTAGATTGTTAACCATCCAGAAGAGAAGCTTATTGTTATTACCATACAACTTAGGCTGTTAACCTCACTGTCTGTCTGAATATGAAACATCTTTGGCATAACATGGAACAGGTATTTTTCATCAATTATTGATATGTTGAACTTTAAGTCCCTACAGAATATGATGAAAAAACATTTAAAAATTAGAACATATTTTTAAAAATAGGCATAAGGAATTATATAATTCTTATGTTTACACATAAGTCCAAAATTCTAACCATATACAACCTTGAAGCAGGACAGTCCCACAACATCCCTTTTCCTGTCTCCTGCCTTCATTCACCACCCTCTTCTTTTTAAACAATCATCTACCTGAGGAACAGCACAGCAGCAACTGGCATGTCATGACAAGCAGCCCATATTGAGAAGACCAGAATGACAGGCACTCCAAGCATGAAACTACTATTACAGATTACCATCTTCAGTGCAGTTGCTTAGTTCACAGGTGTCAGTATATACAGTTAGTCAGGGTGAGAATCTTTCCAATTAACTGCTAGATTCAAAAATCTTCTGGAGATTCTCAGGATCATTGCCTTGCTTATCTTCTACATATAACTGTATGGCTTGACATTGTCATGTTTCCTAGCTCTTCTCCTTTCCCTCTCTTAATTAGTTAGTTCACAAGTTCTTGCCTTCCTTTTACTTGTATTATATCTTTCTATTTGTATTTCTTCTTTTGAGTCTTATGCTAGGGACACTATATGACATTTACACATGTGCGTCTGTTTTATTTCACTTATGAGTATATCTTCAAGTGGCATCCGCTTCAATATAAAGGTTTCGAGTTTACCATTCTTTACAGCTGAGTAAAACTCCATTGTATAAAAATACCACATCTTTTTCATCCATTCCTCAGGTGATGGACATCGTGGTTGTTTCCAAGATTTGGCTATCACAAATTGTGCTGCTATAAACATAGGCACACATATATCATTATGATATGATGTTTTCAGATCCTCCGGAAAAATTCCCAGTAGAGGAATAGCTGGTTTAAAGGGGATTTCCAGTCCAACTTTTCTAAGGAGTCTCCACATTGATTTCCATAATGGTTGCACTAGTCTACACTCCCACAAGCAGTGGAGAAGGGTTCGTTTTTCCCCACAGCCTCTCCAACATTTGTTGTTGGTTGATTTCTTTATGATAGCCA